GCCAGTGCCACGCAGAGGTGGGGGTGCATGGGGGAAAGGCGATAACGCAGCTGGCTCCGTTCCGGCTCCGTCGCAGGTTGGTGGTCACTGCAAGAACATCCCTACGCTGGAGTACGGCTTCCTTGTCCAGGTGAGAGACCTGCATCCCACTCATCCTCATCCTGCTGTCTGGAGCATCCTCTCCACTGCCCCACATCCCACTTATCCACATCCCACTGCCTGGAGCATCTTCCCCACTGCCCCACCTCCCTCTCAGCCTCATCCCACGCCCCAGAGCATCCTCCTGAGCTCTGGCTGTGACAGGGGCTGACTTCCACCACCCTCCCCCCCTTAGATCATGAAGTATGCAGAGCAGCGGATCCCAACGCTCAACGAGTACTGCGTGGTGTGTGATGAGCAGCACGTCTTTCAGAATGGCTCCATGCTCAAGGTGGGACGACAGGGACTGGTCAGGCATGGGCTGCCACCCTGTGTCACCATCCCTGACTCCCCACTTCTCCTGTCCCCTCTGCAGCCAGCAGTGTGCACCCGGGAGCTCTGTGTCTTCTCCTTCTACACTCTGGGTGTCATGTCTGGCGCGGCAGAGGAGGTGGCCACAGGTGCTGAGGTAGGGATGCGTGCAGCAGTGACCACGCCATCACCTCGGGACCGTGCCATCACCTTGGCATGCTGCCCCTTCACCTTACACTCTGTCCCCAAGGTGGTGGACCTGCTAGTGGCCATGTGCCGTGCTGCCCTCGAGTCCCCTCGCAAGAGCATCATCTTTGAGCCTTACCCTTCCGTGGTGGACCCCAATGACCCCAAAACACTTGCCTTCAACCCCAAGGTAAGTGCCAGGGGGAGCAATGGTCACCCATGCTGGGGGGTGACAGGCCAGGGGGAGCCCCTAGGACCTCTCTGATGACCACCTCTCTCATGCCCCACGTGTAGAAGAAGAATTATGAGCGGCTGCAGAAGGCCCTGGACAGTGTGATGTCTATCCGGGAGATGACCCAGGTATGTGGCATGGCCCCACACTCCTATGGCCCTGTATGAGATCTCCCTGGTGTGGGATCCAATCCAGGGGTGGCATTTTGGTGCTGATCTGCGTCTGCCCACAGTTGGGTGGGTGCTGGGGGACCCACCTGCACCCCTTCTTGCCTCTGCCAGGGATCCTACCTGGAGATCAAGAAGCAGATGGACAAGCTGGACCCCCTGGCCCATCCCCTCCTGCAGTGGTAAGGCTGAGGGTGCTGCAGCCCCATCCCACTGCCTCACATCCCCCTCCACTGCCCCATGCCCCTCCCTGCTGCTCCACTTCCCTCCCTGCTGCCTCATGTCCTCCAGGACAGAGGATGAGGGGGGTGAGTCCTTTCTCCTGGGGTGTCACAACCATCTTATGGCCTCGGGGTGGATTCTGGTTCAGCTCCTAGCTAGGCCCCACTCCCAAGAGTGTGGGACCACCCTTTCTGACCTTCCTCCTCGTCTTCCCAAGGATAATCTCCAGCAACAGATCCCACATTGTCAAGCTGCCTCTCAGCAGGGTAAGGGGCCTGACCAAGCTCCAGGTGGGGTGAGGAATGTGGGATATGGGAGGTGGGGCGGAGGGTATGGGAAGTGGGTTGTAGGCCGTAGGCTGTGGGATGCAGGATGAGGGATGTAAGTACATGGGGTGGGCAATGGAGGGGTCTGGGATGTAGGATACATCCCTCAGGGTGGGGTCTGAACCTGTGAGATGTGGGAGGCAGGACCCGGGATAGAGGATGGAGGATGTTTGACACATGCTGTGTGATGGGGACAAAACGGGGGATGCCATGGGCCCTTTTGTCAAGCTTAGGGTGCGCAGAGCTGGGCTGGGCCAGGCACAGGGCCGGGCGGCCGTGCATGATCTCTGTCTGTCTCTCTGTCCATCCATCCTCTCTCCCTACCGGCGCCGCCGTTGCTCTTCCTGTTCCCCTGGTAGCAGCTGAAGTTCATGCACACCTCCCACCAGTTCCTCCTGCTCAGCAGCCCCCCGGCCAAGGAAGCTCGGTTCCGCACCGCCAAGAAACTCTACGGCAGCACCTTCGCTTTCCAGTGAGTTGCCGAGGTGAGGGGGCAGCGGGGCCCGCCCAGGTGAGTGCCGTGGGGCTGACATGGGGCTGACTTTTTCCAGTGGCTCTCACATTGAGAACTGGCATTCCATCCTCCGCAACGGGCTGGTCAACGCTTCCTACACAAAACTGCAGGTACCACTCCCCTCCCCATCCCTGACTTGTGCCCCGGGGCAGCAGGCAGGCAGGGAGAGGGCAGGCAGTGGGAGGTGCTGGGCTGCCTCCGCCACCGTGCCCGAGCTGTTGGGGTGACCCTACTGTGCTCACCCTGGTGTTTTCCTGCAAGCTGCATGGAGCAGCCTATGGCAAGGGCATCTATCTGAGCCCCATCTCCAGTATTTCCTTTGGATACTCAGGTAAGAGGCTGCCTGTGCTGCCTGGTCCTGCCTGCGCTGCCCGGTCCTCCTGCCTGCGCTCCCATCCCACTCCCTGCATGGGCCCGGGGAGGTTCAGCATCGTGCCAGCTGAGAGAGCTGCACTGGAGCAGGCAGCATCCCCCATAAATCCCACTTGCACCAGCCTCTTCCCAGCCAGGCTGAGGCTTTCCCGTGCTCCAGGGAATCAACCCCAACGTTTCCTAGGATCCCCAACTTTTGAGGGGTTCCCAAGGTTCGCCTCCAGGGTGGGAGCGTTCGACGTGCCTATCCCTGTCTGTGGCATGTGTCCCCACAGCACCTCAGGGACGTTCCCTACCTGGAGTGACAGCCACGGCCTCTGTTCTCCACAGGGATGGGGAAAGGGCAGCACCGGATGCCGTCGAAGGATGAGCTGGTGCAGCGGTACAACCGGATGAACACCATCCCCCAGGTGACGGGCCAGGGGTCACCGGGGGAGGATGGGGACAGGGACATGGCACCTATGGGTGCTGGGAACGGGGTGGTAACACCAGCTGCTCTCCCCGCAGACCCGTTCCATCCAGTCCCGCTTCCTCCAGAGCCGCAACCTGAACTGCATCGCACTTTGCGAAGGTGTGGGGAACAACAGGGGTGTACAGACAGCACTCACAGACTCACCGGGTGGGCGGAGGAGGGAGGGAGGGACCCCACCCTGGGCTGCCCCAGCCGGGCCCTCTGTCCCCCATCCCACGTCTGACAGCTCCTCCCCCTGGCAGTGATCACCTCCAAGGACCTGCAGAAACACGGCAACATCTGGGTCTGCCCCGTCTCGGACCACGTCTGCACCCGCTTCTTCTTTGTGTGAGTCCCAGCCCTGCCCACCTCAGGCACCACGGGACCCACGGAACACCCCTCACTCCCCTTCTCCCCCTCCAGGTACGAAGATGGACAAGTGGGAGACGCCAATATCAATACTCAGGACCCCAAAATCCAGAAGGAGATCATGCGTGTGATTGGGACTCAGGTGTACACAAACTGAGCAGTGGTGGTGGCAGGGACCCCCCGGGACCCCCTCAGGCTCCAGGCCGAGCTCCCAGGCAGGGCCGGGGAAGGCCGAGTGGGTTTTGAGCCCCCTGGGCAGGACAGAGCCGGGGCCAGCACCGGTGGCTCCACCTGTACATAGGTGTCAGGCACCCCGTGAGCACCGGGTGGGTTTGGCAGTCCCTAGTCCCCTCCCTGTCCCGTCCCCAGTGTCCCCGACCCCGTGGCAGTGTGGAGCAGGAGCCGCGGGGGCTGGCGTGGCCGGGGGCTGCCCCTCCTGGCGTTGGCAGCGACAGTTTTTATCAACAACGAGAAACCGAAGCAAAAAAATGACAAACCAAAACAAACCCAAAACACAGAAAAAAAAAAAGAAATCTGTGTCAGTGGAGTTTAACTGGTGTTAAAGTCTGGGAGGTGGGGAGGGAGGCACAAGGAAGAGAGGGGGGAACAGGGAAGGAATGGGATCATGGGATAGAGACAGGCATGGGGAAAGGATGGGATCATGGGGAAGGGATGGTATCGAAGGGACAAGATGGGATCAAGGGGAAGGGATAGGATCACAGGGAAGAGATAGGGGCACAGGGAAAGAATAGGATTGTGGGGAAGGGACAGGCACAGGGAAAGGATGAGATCTTGGGAAAGGGATGGGATCTTAAGGAAGGGATGAGATTGTGGGGAAGGAATGGGTCATGCAAAAGGGATGGGGATCCTGGGAAGGGATGGGATGGTGGGGAAGGAATAGGTTCACGGGGAAGGGATGGGATGGTGGGGAAGGGATCATAGGGAATTGCTGCAGTTTTGGGAAAGAACTGGTGCTGTGGGGAGGGAATCACACAACCATCATACCATGGCAAAGGGATGGTGCTGTGGAGTACGGATGACACCACAAAGAAGGGATTGTGCCTCAAGGATAGGACCCTGCCAAGGGGACAGGATCCCACAGGGACCAGTGCTGCAGCAGAAACTCAAATGAGAAGGAACCTCCCAGGGATGGCATTTCATTTCAGCCCAAGTTTATCCCAGTAACCCCATGGATACAGAGGCAGTGCCAGCATGGCTGCATCCTGCTATGCCCAAACCCAGATGAAAATCCTCTGAAGGCCCAGAGGCTGCTGGGGCTCAGCAGAGGGACCCCAGGAGGCAGCAGGGGCTGGCAGAGGTGGCTGGGCACCATGGTTCCAAACAGTCCAGGGGTTCTCTGGGTCGGTCACAGCAGCACAAGGCCATGATTTCAACCAAGATTTATAAAGGAAACTTAAGAATAGATACAAAATTATCCTGGTTCAGGTACAGTCACTGGCTGAGACCTGACAGACTCCTCAGTGTCACCTCTGCCATGTCCCCTGCTCTCTAGACCCCTTGGAGGGTCACCCTGAGACCCATCATCACTTGTCCTGCACTGGCTGCTCCATGTCCCAGAGGGCCACCCAAACCCAGGCCGGTGGCTGTCCCCTCACCACCCGCCCTCCCACCCACCCCTTGGGGTTTTTTTGCTTAAATTGAGGGGTTTGGGGTTTTTCCCCCTCCTTAAATAAAAAATAAGTCACTTTCCCAGGATCATGGCAGTTGTTGGCTGTACCCACAGCCGCAAAGGGACATCCCACGGGACATGGCAACATACCCCAGCAGTGCTCCCATTGCTCGAAAAGATCGGTGAAACCACAGGGCCTGGGTCCTGCCTCAGTCAGGGTGAATTCACCTAAAGTTGCAAAATGGTAATCCTGGGAAAAAGAGCAAATAAAAACCAGAGGCCCATGGTCCTCTCCCAGCTTCACCAAATTCCCTGTGGATGTTCCATCCCAGCTGGAGTCGAGCTGGTCCAAAAGGGATCCCCACATTGTTTTCTGGGTGTTGGCATGCAATGATTGCTCCAAAGAACCAACCAAGGTGACGATTTTGACAAAATAAGTTTATTTCACTTCGCTTTGTTTCTGCCGAAACCTCACATTTTTCTTATTTTTTTTTAATTTTTTTTGGCTGAAAAAAAAAACCCCAAACCCCAAACCCCCCAAAACCAACCCAAAACACAAAGGACTGCATCGCTCCGCCCTCTCCCAGAGGGGCTCCAACTCCCCCTGGG